TTTATTTGCTGGCCAACAGATATAATGCGAGCATGCGGGCTATACTACAGTTTTTTTTACACTTGTGAACTTTAGTGAGCGTAGTGTTGACTAATCTTTTGTTCTCACCTAAATAGGAAATATTGGTGCCAATTTTGTGGCATCTTAACAGCTTTTTCATAGAATGTGCTTTGATATTCGAGTAGTAATAACTTAACACATTTGATGCAATTTCATCAAGTGAACTGAAAAAAGCTATTTGTATAAAATCAACATAACAATCATAAAAACCAGATTTCAGAAATGTTATATTTCAATATATCTGACAACTTTTTGAAATGCATAGTTAATACATAACATGGCTTAGCTTTTGAATATTTTTTACATGTAATGTTAGCGTGGATGCCTTCAGTTTGTTATATTCCAAATTATCACATGAAGCATTGCGTCCATTTGTCTTCGTTGCCATTTTGGCCGTGTTCAACGCAAGCGTTTGCTAGGCGCAGCTTCGCCTCTGTGTCGAAACTTGTTTTTATGTTTGTCGGTAATGGGCTCTGAATTTTTTAAAAATTCCTAATTGCTTAAGTTTTCAGCCTAAACGGTTGCGGCTAACCTACCATTGACTTGCTTTCGATTATCTCGTATTGCGACATTTAAATATGATAGTAATTTTTAATTTGTGTGTTTACTAGTTCGTCTGGCATGTAAAACTTGAAAACTTTGAGTTTCAAATTCTTTGTGGTCAAAGTGTATTATGACAAAGATTTTTTCGACTGAATGGGCGCTCACCCAAGTGTTGTTGGCCTAATTGCCAAATTCAAGAATTTCGTTCAAATGTCTTTTTACAATTGGCAATTGTTTTGTTTGGTTTTTTCTCGAAATTGACTCTATTTGCGTCAAAAGTATAAAAACTATCGAAAATAACTAAAGTTGTTTTTGCTTATTGATTTACCAAGTTCTAGCTTATCCGCAGAATTTTTTTTCTTCGTTGAAATCTGTTCCAAAAAGATAGCTTACTGCACAAGGATTAAAAATACAAAAACTTTCATTTGGATATGATCGACCTATTCAAAAGAATGGCGAATCAGTTAAAATAAAGCTGCAAATTTAGAATAAAAAAAAAATTGCGCTAAAAATAAGTTTTTTTCCATAAAAGTATTGTGGTAGAACTTTTGTGGTAGACTAAGTCAATATGCGGGCATGATTACATTCAGAAGTTCAAAAATGTAATTTGAAACGCGTTTGGTAGAAAAAATGAGGTCAAACTGTGGAATTTCTAAATCCTTCACGGTTTCTATCATAGAAAACAAGGAGCTTCATCAACGGTTTTGTAAATAACATCACTGGGTTTTAGTATAATAATTTAAACTTTTTTCTTTGCCTTCATTGCTAGGGTTTCCAGATAGCAGGATTTTATTGTTCCGACTTTCGATACGAAAGTTACGGAATATTTGTGCTCGGGGTGGGTTTTTTTTTTCTTCAGACAAATTTCGACTTTTTAACTAGCCATTTTTGACGGAATTTTTTATATCATTCGAAAGGTATTGTTGTCCTGAGCTTAAACTTGAAAAGATATTTCACCTGTGATCATTTTTGGTAAAGTTATGAGGGTTTAAAGATTGCCATTTTGACCAATTTGGGACAATTAACGCGCGATATAATTAGCGCTATTAACGCGTAAGCGGAGATTTAATCCGTCTTATAAATCGTTCCAAATTGGTTAAACGAAGCGTATTTGCCATAATTGAATTGTTACAAGGAACGAAATCTATCTTTTTATTTTTTATGTGGTGTGTGGGGGGATGATTTTCTTTAAAAATTTCAAATTTAAAAAAAAAAACTTTCATTTTATTTTATTTCATATAACTTTTTTAAGTTATTACTGCTGCTCCAAAAACCTTAAAAGGCAGTCGGAACATTCAGGGCTTCGCCCAGATACGAGAAGTCTTGTTTATTTTGATCTTGAAACTACATTAGGACAAAACAATCCCTACCTGGACAGTAAAATTAGAGGGTACTTTGAATAAATTCGTGATTTAATTTTAATGCAAAAACATAGCATTATGGGAAAAACTTAAGTTAACATGCATCAATGCGCTCTTGGATTTTTTCTTAAGATCTTTATGCTAAATATTTATGTACATTTTTGATGCAAAAATGGAAACTTTGTGATGAGAGCCAAACCGTTCAAATACAGTTTTATGATTTTAATATCCAAACATTTTGAATCAATTTTTCATAGACAGTGGTTAGATATAGGTCCGCAAAACAATCACTGACAATTGTTTTGATTTAGATTTGGGGAAGCCAACAACTACTTGACAAGCCGTTTCTTGCGCTTGTAGTCTTCGCAAAAAATTGAATAAGAAAAAAAAACATTAAATAGTGTTTGAAATAAAACTTCACGAACTACCTTATCATATGTAATATCTTGTTTGGAATGAAATCGTAATATCATGTTTGGAATGAAATCGTAATATCATGTGTGGAAAGAGTTCCCGTAACATGATTGATTTCTTCTTGCGATTATTTTCTCGACGCCAATATATTTGGATTTTGAATCACTTACAGCAAGCTCTAATATTATATTACATTTGGCTCCCTAAGATTTTTTGAGGAACCTTAAGTTAGGCGTAAAAACACCCTGAGCTATAGTTCCTTCGGGGGTGAGTCGGAGCAAAAAAAATTGAATTGTTTCAAGCAGAGCAGCCTGAGCTTAGTGTGTCTTATATCAAGGTGACAAATTTATGAGCTCACTACAACAAAAGATTCCAGATGTTATAATAAAATTCCCGTTTAAAATGGTTACTTAAAAGGTCGAAATTTGTCTGAAGGAAAAAAATCACTCCGAGTAGAAATATTCCATCCCTTCTTCAAAAATTGTAACAAAAACATTTTTGGCCGAATTTTCTATACTTGAGTTCGGCTGAATTGTCTGTGACTGAAGCTTGCCTGTGGATTTTGAAAAAGCGAAGCTTGTGTGGAGCAAAAAAAACGCCTCGCGCAGTAATATTCCGTCAATTTCTTCGAAAGTCGAAACAACAAGAGGCTATATTTGCTTCATTAAAAAGCATTCATTGCTGCGTGTTACTTGTCAGTCAAAAATTTGTTAAAATGCGAGTAGCCAGAAAATACAGTTATGAGACGTAACCGCGTTTCAGATGATAAGAACTGATGTTGTGATAGTCATGGTTACTTATCTAAAGATAGTACATGGTATCATATCTAATATATGAAGTTATCACATTTGACGATTCGTCTCAAACAAATATGTATGAGACAGTTACACTGATCTAATAACTCAAATACACTGATTAAGTAAATATCGAACATCTATAGTTATCTGGCCTGCTCAAATTCTGACTATTTGAAATTGAGATAATCTTTTGCTGCGGGTAAATCGAAGTTTTTCTCTTCAGACATGACTTCTTTTTTGACAAAAAAAAACAGCTCGTTTGCGTAAAATTACTTGTATTAAATCACTTGACATTAATAAATTGAAGAACGAATATTATCAGTTTTTCTTTAAATGGTTAATTCTGCCCACTGTTAAAAACGTGATATCGTGCAACTCAAATGTTCATTGCATAGATATCGGATCTCTTTAAGTTTTCCCTGTTTTCGGGGGAGATTCGCTACTAGGTACAAAATTTACATATGCTTAACCGCTGAATTTGTTCATATAAGGGTGGCAATTCATTACTAGGTTCCATAAGGGAGATTGTGGATGAAATTCTTAATTGAAACAATACAGTTCGTATGAAGGCAAAGCCCTAGATTTCGAAACAATAAAAATATTTTTTGGGAATGATAGAAATTGCATTAAATGAATTGCATTGAGTCAAAGAAGATTTAAAGCTTTCAGCGGTTTTTGATGAAAAATGCCGGTTACTCCTTCAGGGGGCGGATCTAAGATTTTCTCGAGGGGGAGGCAGATTTTCAATGACCTTTTTTTAGGTCGACCAAAATGGTTTTCCGAGCTCTCTTAAAACATCGAAAAAGACCATTTTAAGGCAATTTTCTTACGCACAGGCAAGTTTTTGAAAACAAAGACACTTTTTGGAAAGCTTAAACCAAAAAAGCGTTTTTCTTGAGTGTGATCCCCCTCAAAGTTAATATATATTGGCGCCTAATGTGTCTTAAGATAATTTTTAGACCTTAGCAGTAGGGCCTAAATAATGTCTAAATACGGTCAAATAGTGCCTAAAAACTGCCTTTTTTGGCCTATTTAGTTCAAAAACTTGCTGTGGCGTAAAAAAGTTTGCTTTAATACGATGTTTTAAGAGAGCTCGGAAGATCATTTTGGTCGTCGACCTTAAAAAAAGGTCACTTGAAAATCCGCCTCTCCCTCGAGAAAATCCTAGATTCGCGTAGTGCCAAGTATTGCATTAAAATCTGCCCTCTTTTGACAATTATTTACAAGGCTATTTGAAATTTTTATTGGGGTTTTATTGGAAAAGTGAAAAATTTAATCAGACATCAGAATTGTTTAAGTTAGTGCAACAGCCCGGGTTCAACCCTATCCATTATCCTATTAATACACCTCTTTTAAAATGTAGTGCTCAGAATTTTAGGATATAAGTCTGAGACTTATGTACCCGTATAAGGGGTATATGCAAACACTATATGCGGGCACTATCTGCGCTTAACGGGTATATACTAACGTGGGATCTTGTTAACAATACCCCCTTTCGCAATAGGGGGGAGATTCGTTACAAGGTACCAAATTCGCATATGCTTAACTGTTCAATTCTTTCTTTATAGGGGGTGGGGGGAGATTCGTTACAAAGTACCATGGGGGGGGGGGGAATAGTTAACAAGATCCCAAACATGCTAGAGTGTGCATGCCTAACATCCGGAAAAAAGCTCGGATCTTCGTCGCAATTTATCTTTCCAAAGTTCATGTAAATTGACGGTTAAAAACAAACTTTCTTGAGATTAAAACGATGGCACCGTTTCTGCTATTCAATTTTACATCTGATTAGCATTGTTTCTTAATGATTTCGTAACTTAGCCGCAAAATGGAATCTGGCTACCAAAAACTACCCGAAGAGTCAATGCGGACAGAGTGGAATGAGAAGAAGATAGAGGCCAACTCAGACTACCTGCATGTAGAGGGACACCCAGTCATGGAGAAGTGGGAGACACCATATATGGACAGACTAGCCCAGATTGCATGCAGGCAGGCACAGTCATTATTCAAACACCAGGGGAATCATAGTATTTGGTGCTAGGGATTTTAGCAGATCGGTTTTTTTAGCAGACCGGTTTTTTAGACTCAAAACAATCATAAAGTGTGATAGCTAAGTTCAAACGCGGCATTAGCGATTAGCCACCGCTTGCTCTGCTGCGCTTCAATTCAAGGGTCTTTTTACTTATTCCGCCCAAACTTCTCAATTTTGCGATTTTTGAATTATTAAATGTAAAAATGATGAGAACAACATACTGATAGCACTGGTTTATTTGGTTAATACAAATGCGATCACTTTATTCGTAAGCCGACTTCTAACAAGACCGAATTTTGGGCAGATACGAAGGTGGTCGTTTTTTCCCTGGGGCTGTTTTCTGTGTTTTTTTTCTAATCTGGGTAAAACTCTGGAGCGTATTTGAAATAATTTTGAGTAGTTTACTCAACATTCTTCGTTTTGGGACAAATCGGTTTATTTATATTTTGATTTGAAAATTGTGATTAAAACATTTTGTGATGATGCTGAAATTGGGGAAGCTTGGCCCCAGACTGAGCTTTTTTTGAGGCAGGCAGAGCATTAAGCAGAATGGGTCTAAGAGCAAAAAAAAACAGAAAAATATTAACTTTTACTGATTAATACGGGCAAGTTGATAAAAAAAAACAATTATCAGAATCGTCAATAATACCAAGAAATAAATAAATTATTTATGAATTGAATAATTTCGTCAAGTTTTTTTTTCATTGATTTTTAAAATCTCGATTAAATTATTTAAGTTATGTATAAAACTTAAGTTTTTTGGTAGTATTGACTATTACTATATTTAATTTACTGATCAGCTTATAAAAGTTAATATTTTTTCGTTTTTCTGCTATTGGACCCATTCTGCTCTTTTGAGTCTGTCAATCAATCATCCATCACTTTATTACGTTGGTCTGCTAAAAGACTCATTTTAAACTTTTTATGCTAAAAGATTGGTCTGCTAAACGATCGGTCCCCCGAATCTATAGCCCCTTTTGCAAAAGGGAGGAGATAGTAGAAGAGATACCGATTTTTTCATAGTGCATAAATATAACTACAATAATTCAGACTAAGAGAAATAAAAGTACAAATAAATTAAGTATACGATAACCTGGACATGCAATTGCACGTAGAAAATGACCAGAAAACGATGTTTGAAGCCGATAACATGGAACCACACTTTTTTTTATCAATTAGTGTTTAGTTTTGATGGAATTTACATACATTTGAGCAGAAAAAAAAGTTTTTTTTTGGTTTCATTGTGCAGAGCGGTTCAATTTAAAGCGGATTTAGAGAAATTATACAAGGTCTTGAATGAATTCTGACTATCTCTGCGTGTCTTTGTGGGAATGGGGGCGTGGTTCTTGAGGTGGGACTGGGCATGGCCATCAGTGCCACTGCAATCCAGAGATGCAAACCAGACAAACATCTCATCATTGAGCTAAACGAGAAGGTGAGCGAGCTACTTCTTTTGAAACGTGTCCTGTCTGTCATATTTTTGAGGAAGATCGGTTGGTGTTAAAAAATTCAACATAAATAAAAAAAAACATAAGTAAGTTTCAGAGCTCAAATTTTTTCATGGCAACAGTTCTGTTTTCGGCTTAACGGGAAAAGACCCTGTGTTGGCCTAGTTTCTGCTCGGTAAATGATTGCCAAAGCCCTTTAAAGCTGCTTATGGAAATCATCAGAGTAAAATGTTTGAAGTTTTTGTAATAGTAGTTTTTTTTATTTACTAACAAGTTTCACAATACTTCAAATTGCTAACACTGTTAATGGATACTGTCAGGGTACTTTCAGGTGTTGCAAGTCTTGCCTCCAATGACAACTGCTCAATTTTTTGAAATTCCGATATACGCCGTTTCTTATGACTTTTCAAAACTTTCCAGAAAAAAAATAGATTAAAAAGTTTCACTAAATTTGAAATACTAACCCTGTAAATGGATTCTGTCAAGGTGCTCATAGGGGTTGCACAAATTTGGCCTCTAAATGTGGCCTCAGTCTTTTTTCTATTCACTATTTTGTTATACGTTTTTATTTTTCAAGTTGAACTTGCTTTTTAATGAACATATTAACAAGATCCAGGTTTTCTGTTTTTTGTTTGGTCTAGAGATAATGTGTGGTTGCCTTTGCACCAAAAGGTCCCGGGTTCGAGTTTCGACTGGATCTGATTTTTCTAAACATTATTTATGAAATGGATTTTTTCCTCCAGGAAAATTAAGTTTGTTTTTCTGTTTTTGAAGAGGGAAGGTTTTTTAAAAAGGGAAAAATAATATGTTCAATTTAATTAGAAAATTTGTATTGCGAGGAAGTCAGAATCTTTAAAAGTTTACCCTGCTACGAGCAGTAACGTATAATTTGCGTCCAGTAAGGATTCAATGGGATTTTTACCCTTACGATAAGCAAGGGTATTGCAATAGGGCTTAAGGCTTTTTTTTTCATGTTAATAACTTTGTTCACATGACTTTTTTCATCTGTATTCATTTCCTGGAAGATTTTTTTAGCAACTAATTTAGCACTACAGATAAATTTTTTGCATGTTGGCTTTTTAAATATCTGTTTTGTTCGAAGTTTTCTTATGTTGAACGTAATTTTACCAACTCGTTTTGTTAAATTTTTTATTTTTGTTTTATTGTCTTTTACTGTTTTGGCTTGATAGGTTTCGGCCTATGTTATGTCGATTTAGTGGCCTAATATCGCGTCGTTTGACAGGCGAAAAAATTTTTTAAGTGAGTGTTTTGAAGTCAAGGAGGTTTTAATAATTTTTGCTTTTTTTTCACGGCCTAATAAGTTTCGGCCTATATTATATTGGGTTGATTGCCTCACATAGCATTGTTCGACGGTCGAAAAAGTTTGTGTGTGTGTGTGTGTGTGTTGAGGATGAGGGGAACTGAATAACAATTTTATTAGGATGAAGTTTTCGATTTTTTGGGTGTTTAGTTTTTTTCTAATTTTTCGGCCTCATGTTGTTTATTCGACGAGCCAATAAAGTTTTTGCTTGTGTGTATGTGTGTGTGTGTGTTTTGAGGATGAGGAGGGCTTGATAATTTCGTATAAATTTTGTTGATTTTTTTCGACTTAAAGGGTTTCTGCTACGGTTTTTTTGGCTTTGCTACCGCTTGGTAATTTTTTTCTTGCGCTAAGTTTAAATTCTCTTGTCTTGACATGTTTGTTTCAAAACTAGCGCTTTTCATTTTAATAGATCTAGTTTTTTGACGTTTTTGTGTTTTTTTGACTTCGAGGCTTTCATGTTTTGTAGCGAAATTGGTGCGAAGCTCAGCTTCGCCTGTGCTAATGTTGCTTCATCTTGAAATAGTTTTCTGAGCGATCAGTGATTCTTCGCTCTCAGATATAGCCCGCTTACTTTTCGAGTAATGCAGACAGACTATTATATTATAAATAGAACTTAAGCATCAAGGTATCATAGATCTGTAGCGTAGAGGTAGGGAAGGCAACAAAATAAGAGGGTTCGAACCTGGGCAGGTTCGAATGTTCTTAATGAACTTTTTCCTATACTAGTTAAAATGCGTCCGCTCGATAAATTGAGGCATGCTAGTTGGCATTTTTTTGTTTCTAAATGACTGGTACTGATAAAGCGTCATCATTGGCTTGCGTCACTTAGCAGTTATGTAGGCTCATAGTGGGCGTTTGTCACTTAAGAAATTTTGTAGACTCAAAGTTTTCTCATTCAGTTTTTCCCAGTAGCGTTATCGGTCTTATTTTTGCTTGTCTATGCGATGTGCAGCTTCGCCTCGGTAATAAAATTACTTGTTTTAACTAAAGCGACAGTTTACTCAACCGGCAAAACATGCACCGAAATTATTTCAGTCGAGTAAAAGTTCCCGACATTCCTTTTGTTTTTTTTTCGCAGAATTTTTAATCGACTGAAATAAATCCGGCTCTTATTTTGTCGATTTAGTGAATTTTTTTTGCACTGTTTTAAAGATCAAAAAAGATGTGACCCCCATGTTTTATGATAGGTAATAGAACATCCGATCACCCAGCTACGTATTAACATTGGGTATAGAGTCAGCAATTTTTTTCCCCATCTTAATACATTGTAAAGGTTTCATGGTTTGTGTGATTCATTCAACCAATCAGAATTGACCAAAATTAAAACTGATTTATTATTTGGTATCTTTCCTTATTTGAAAAATATCAATTAAAAACATTTAATTTTCCTCGAGTTACTTTTCAAGAAAAAAGAAGATATTCCCTGTGATTTGCTTATTGATGAAATAGATATATATTCTTACTTTTTTCACAATTTTTTGGACGTTTATGCTGTCCAAAATAGAGTTCTCCGACTAAGTAGAAGCCTATTTAGAGAAACTTACTCAATCAAAGAGTATACTTTTTAACCTAGTATTCAGTATCCAAGCTATAAGCTTACTGCTGAGTTACACCTGACTAGAAAAGAACGTTTTCTTAGAAAGTTTGAAAGCAATCAAAAATTCGATAGAGGCCAGACCAGCTTTGCAAAGTTCTTCAGCTGCTTCACAGCTCTTTGATTTTTAAATAATTTGGTTGTTGTCTTGCGTTTTGTAATTTAATTTTTTTTCGCATTTTGTATTTTTATTTTAATGAGATAGAAACAAAGAGGTAAGGTGAAAGTTCATCAAAAAATCGTTAAAAAAACTTTTCAAGCGAATTGAGAATCAAACTAATTTTGCAATTGGCAAATAATTTTACATTTTTTTGCACATGTTAAAAACTCTACGATTATTTTTGCACCTTGCAAAGTTTTTCACATTGTTTGTAGCACATGTTTCAAAAAATCAAAAAAAAATACGCATCAAAAATTAAAAAAAAAATGTACAAAGTTTTCTTGCACTGCTAAGAAATAAATTTTATGAGTTTCTTGGTTCAAAATTTGATCATTAAAATTCCATTTTGTACATGTATGTTGATCAAAAACTTCAGACAAACAATTTATTAAGATAGGGAATATCATTCAGAGTTATCAAAAATGAAATTTTTTTAGCAATCATTTAAGAAGTTTTTTACAATAAAATTTTGCTTTATTCGCATATGCATAAAAAAATAGGTTAGGTTTTTTCATATGTTTTTTAAAACCACGAAAAAACTTGCATCTTTTACCAAATTTTCATAAAATTTTCGCACAAATGTTAAAAAAGTCAGAACAACTTTTGCATCTCGTAAAAAAAACTTACCCAATTATTTGCAAACTTGCTGAAAAAATCTAATCAAAACTTGCAGCTTGCTAAAAAAAACTTAAAAATTACATAAATATATTTGTTGATAAAAAACTTTCAATTTGAAATAAATTAAATATTGACAATATTTCTATAAACAAATTTTGAATTATTAATAGAAAAATTGACACGATCACTATTTTCAGAACCATAACCATCAATGAAGCAATCAACAATTTTAAACAAATCGGACTCATACTTTGAGTTTTGAACTTTGCGAATCCTTTCCAAAAAAGCTGATCCAAGAGTCTGGGTAGACGCAAGCTTCTGGGCAGAGTTGAGATGATGTCTTTTGATTTTTTTTGCAGCAGGTGTTTCTTTGCAACACTGGGTAATTTTTTCGGTATTCTACATTAAAAGATGTGTTCGACTGGACGATTCAATTGATTGAATTTTTCGCCTGATAAAATAATATTGGAATAAAATCTTTATGTGTATAAAGTATAAATACAGTCAAGAATTGTGTTAGTGAAATGATATTTATCAAATTTTTGTAAAATTTGTTCGAGCGATGATCCGATTAATAATAGGTGAAACTTGTATTTTTCCACTGGGCAGAATGTTGAATGGTTAGATACACAGTAGTCTTGAGTGACTTTGGGATATGCTTGACACATAGCAGATGCCATCACCGATTATATGTTGAAAAAGATTTTATCTATATTGAATTGATTATATAGTAGCTCTAGCGCCTACGCATTTCCATATTTGGATCATCGCGTATTCACTATTCCATGAGGGAATCATTCCTAATTTTGAATTCTCTTTCTATTTCCAAATATCATTATTTTGAAATATCTACTACTGATCAGTTGGCTCTGAGTCTCAAATCAAACATTTATTCACGAAAATATATCCTTCTCAAGTATATTGAGTTTGCTAAAAATCAAAAAACAATTGGGAGATTTTCTTGGTCCCAAAAACTCTACAACGGAAAAGTTTGATTGGAACCTTGCTTCCAGTTGCTAAAGAAAAATGAATCGGGAGAAATTGAAAATCCCAGCAAGTCTATCTTGGTGAAAAAGAAGGAGAAAGGATATCAGCAATAAGGAATACTGTTATTCACGATGTTGAAAATCTTGGAACTCGTTCCTCCATCGGAACCCAATTCTGACAAAACTCAACCATGGAGCAGGAACTTGCAAACTGCCATGCCGTGTATGACAAAGCAATATACAAGAAGCGAAGGGTGTGTGTCACAATCAAGAAGTACAGTGTGAACAAGCCACCCTACATTTAG